GCACGAAGACAGTCAATGAGCAAGACCTGCTTGAAGACACAAGGTCTGGAGATCAGCATAGTGCCTCCATGGTTACAGCCCCTGTCAAGATCACACTCACCGAGATAGAAAGCGCTGGGGAAGCTGCCAGCAAAAAGTCGAGCCCAACTCAACTGGAGACCGGCCTGAAGCCGAGCTGTGAGGTGGTACCAACAGTGACAGTGTCAGAGCCAGAAGATGACAGCCCAGGGTCTGTCACGCCACCATCCTCTGGCACAGGTAATGCTGGTGCACGGCACCATTTTTTTTGGTATTCAGAGACTGACTGCAATTGTAGCCCTGCATGTTGGAGAATTACTATGGGTTTGTGGGGTGGGTCTAAGGGGGTGCGAGCAGACATTAATGGGTTTCCGTGGCTGGAGATGTTTCTGCTCTGCTCGAATACCACTTTGCATTGCCAAACTGAAGGGGGATGCGAACCGTGCTGCCCATCACTAACACACTGCTCAGGATGGGCTGCCCTTTCTGTATGAAAAGAGGGGAAGACAGGGCTGGGGATCCACAAAAATAAGTTGCCAAGAGCCGCTCAGGAGCGTGGCTGGGTCAGATCTGGGCTTGCTGAGCCCGGTCCCCATGGGGATCTCTCCTCGAGGGGAAGTTGTGAGCTAGCAGGTGTCATTAGGGGTATTGTCAGCCAGGTGACGGTTTGGGCTGGATCCCGGTGATTTTGGGTTCCCTTGTTCGCCCTGTCTAGCCACACAGCCCAGAGGAAATGAGGGGTGTGGGACAAGGGTGCTACAAATGTCTGAGTTAATTTTTTTTAATTTTAATGGCTGTTTTAACACCTCGTTGCTCTTGCAGAGAAAAAGGTTAAATTGTTAAAAATAAGCACTGTTTTCAAGTGAAAGTACTGCTTTTAGAAAGTGCTGAGGAGGGAAATGCTGTCATCTCATTTAGAAAGGGGACTGGAGGGACAAAGGGCCGGTCTCTTTTAAAGGCTTCTGATTTCTATTGGAGGGGCACCAAAATCCTATGTTTATACATTTTCTTCTTGTCTGATTACTGCAGTAGTACATAATATCTGTTCCTCATTTTCCCTATTATAGACTGCTAAAATATGAAAGTAGTGTAGTGTTTTAAAAAGGAATAAAGTTCTGTGACAGAATACGGAATTTTCAGACTTGAAATTAAATTTCAGCATCCTGGATCAAAACCCTTTGACAATGAACATTTTGCATTTGACAATGAGCGTCCCCAAGCTGAAATTTCCATTGCTTTGATGACATCTAGAAGCATTTAAAAATCAACTGGAATTTCCTTAAAATGGCAGCCTGAGATTTCTTACGCTTAGAGAAATACCTAGATCCTATCTAAAACTGAGTGTGCATTTGTACACTTTCACACAAAGGAGACAGAAAGATTCCACTGCAGCTGTGAGTTTATCCTGCCTACATCAGCCAGAAACTTTAGATAATAAATGGACTTTAGAGTCCTTGAGTGACTGGGTGGCATCACACGCTACTTCTGAGACAAGCCGGTTTTTACTGATTTATGCTTTTTTGCACTACAAGGTAATTAAGAACTTCAAGCACTAATTATTATTTATTCGGTCTTTGGTGACTGTTCAAGGCTGCCTTCATGACACTTGATAACCATATCACATCAAAACAGCTGAATAGCATGTGGCTAAGCCTTACTGAGAGGCACTGGTGTGTCTGGCGTAATTGTTGGCATGGAAATGTTCCTCTCCATGGGCAAAGCTGTCCCCCAGCATTGCCCAAACAGCCCTGGGAAGTCCCACTGCCTTGCATCGGGGTGCTGGAAATGCAGAAGCTCTGCTTATCTATTGTGTTAAGGAAAGAAGCAGGCATCTTCTTTTAGGGGCTGGCTCCCGCAGGGTGTTTTCTCTGGATTTCCCCCCTTTCCCACAGCCAGCGACACGCTGCACCCAGACTTTGCGTTCATAAGCAAGGAAGAAATTTAAAACCTGCCCTCACTGTTTCTACCCAGTGACCCAGCAAAGTCATCACTCCTAGATACTCCTTAAGTATTCTGGCGAAGCCCCCAGTTCCCCCCTGCTTGGATCAGGACTTTTGAAAATGGTTTGCTTTCAATTACTGGCCATCATCTTCCTGGGGAAGGAAGACGTGGTCTGTTCATACACTGCAGTGGCCCTGAAAGGTGGTGGGTATTTATACACTTCCCCATGCCAGCGGTAAATATGACACCCTGCTGCTAGCCACAAAGGACTTTTTTGTTTGCAAGGTGAATACTGTGGCTGAGAGTTACAAACTACCAGCATGGGCAGGAACGAGGTGAAGCCGAGGGACGGTGCGTTGCTGCGCTACGAGGGCTGGCGGTCACATGCCTGTTTGGACACGTGCCGGATTAAGTCATTGCTCAGGGAGAAAATGCTTACATGTGGTAATGCAGGAGAGCGCACAGCTCCCACAGGCTTCCTGCAGCCAGAGGAAAAGGATGCACAGGCTCCTGCTCAGTGGAATCGATGCAACAGAAACTTCTTGGCATCCAGACAGGAGTGTGTCGTGATGGTCCCAAGCACCTTAATCCTGTCTGCAGCCATACTCTGGGTTGCAGAAGGACTTTCTCATGTGAGAGGGATGTGTTACAAGAGAGCTGTTTTGTTGGAGGAGCTGCAGACAGGCCAACAATACGTGCTCAAAATTGCCGCTGACGTGTCTTGGCAGATGCACAAACCAAAATTGCTTGGAGGAGTGTGGGAAGGTTGTTTTTCTTGCCCGTCTCCCAGCAGGATGGCATGGCTCGGGTGCTGTCATTAAAACCTCTCCATTTACCTGATTCATCTTAGGGAAGGCATATGATCGGGAAGAAATGAGCTACGCTATTGTTATGAGAGATTAAGTCAGGAAATATCCAGAAATAGCAGTTTTGTCCCAGGTCACGTCTGATACAATCTCTTTCCCACCGTCTGTTGTAGAGGAGCTTCCAGAGGTGACCAACACAGCTGGGTGGGCTCAGGGGGCCGATGCCCACAGCTGCACCCGAAGCAGGGCTGGGTGAAGGCAAGTACCCACGGGGAGCCAGCGTAGGTCAGCTTGGGGCTCCTCACCTGCAACCGAGGGGTTGGAAACCTTCCCCCACTTTGCTGCGATCTCCACACGTGTGGATGCAGGCGATGTCCTGCCATGGGCCTCTTTCACAGCATCAGCAGGAGGAAACTTGGGGGTCTCTTCCTGATGGCTTTCTTGAATCTTCACCACCTGCAACGCCGCTTAGTGACCCCTGTCACATTAATAATAATATAAAATCAGTGAATGAGCACTCGAGAGTCCAGAGGAGAAATTTCCATGTATGCCTGATGGCTGTTTCAACATGACAGGGGAACTTTTTTCCTCCAGAAGGGAGGGTCTTGCATGTGTATGGCAGCAATCTCTGGGTCAGTGAAGTCCAAGGTGGAAACCAGTGATCAGGAGGTGGCAGTGGCCTGGCGCTGGCAGGGGACCGTTGCAAACTGCCGCCGTGGTCCCCCTTGGCACAGGCAGTTTCAGGTGGCAGGACTGGCCTTGCTGCCGATGCACCAGATGCAGTCTGGGTTTGAGGCTGGCTGATGCTCTGTGAACAATCAAATGAAGCCTGTTCCCCATGCAGTAGCTCAAGACATCTGCTGATGCACCTCGTGCTGCCTCTGTTGCCTCTTACTGCGAACACTTTACATGCAATTTTACTTTCTTTGTTATTTCGTTACAAAATCTCACATGGTAAAGTGATACACAGGGAGGCAGAACAGCTGGGAAGTCTGGTACTGGGTTCCCTTCTAGTATGGACTGTAGGCTCCTTGCTAATCCTGGATGACCAGCCAGCCTTTTCAGCTGCTCATTTTCACTCTCTTGGGAATATCTTCTCCCAGCGTGAGCCAGAAAATGCAGAGAAATGTTTTTGTTTCAAATTTTGGATGACAAGTTGGTCAGTCATTATTTTGCTTAATGTGGTCCTTAATGATATTAAGAATTACAGTAAAAAAATTAATTTCATTCTTGGACCCAACAGAGATAAAAGCAAACAGAGAATTTACCACCCACCCCCTGAAAAAAAAAAAAAAAAAATTCTGAGAAAAGTTTCTGACCTGCAACTTTCCACACCTGAATGTTAAAGTTTGACAAAACTACTAGTAACTACACATGGGTTGTCACGATCAGCGGTGTCAGGAACCCACCAGCCGTATGTGCGTGTTTGTCCCCAGAACAGACTTGTATCCGTCGGTGACAGTCAGTCACTGTCACGTGTGGCCTGAGCCCACGTTCCTCATGGCTGGTGATCCTCCTGGTGAAAACCATATTGCTGAGCCACTGGCCAAGCACCGACCAGCATTGCCTTGTGTCTCAGCTTTTTCGTCAGTAAATGATGCTAATGATACTTCTTTTATAATGGATAAATATATGGGAAACGCCCTGTAAGGGTTTTTTTCCCCAGACGGGGAAACTTTCTGCCTGTGTTATCAGCCCTGCTAGAGAGATCCATGCTGGTGTGAAATCTATTGTGTTTGCTGCCTAAGCAGCCAGAAAACCTCATTCTTAACAATTTTTTCTTTTTTTTCCCCCTTTCTTTCTGGGTGGCAGAACCGTCTGGCTCAGAGTCGCAGGGCAAAGGCAGCCTGTCGGAAGATGAACTCATCAGTGCCATCAAGGAAGCAAAAAGCTTTTCTTTTGAGAATGCAGATGTGCAGCGGTCACCAGCCCCTTCTGTTGAGAAGAGAGACCAGCGGGTGAAACCTGGGCGTCCCACTGTCTCCTCACCCCTGGATAATGAAGCCAGCAGCGCCGAGTCAGGGGACTCAGAGATCGAGCTGGTCTCAGAGGACCCACTGGCTGCCGAGGACGTGCTGCACTCCAACTACATGACCTTCAGCCACATTGGAGGGCCCCCTCCATCGCCCGCCTCCCCCTCCATCCAGTACAGCATCCTACGGGAGGAGCGGGAGGCAGAGCTTGACAGCGAGCTCATCATTGAGTCCTGTGACGCCTCGTCAGCCTCTGAAGAGAGCCCAAAGAGGGAGCAGGACTCCCCTCTGATGAAGCCCATGGTCATGGACATTATCAAGGAAGAGAACAGCTCGCGCACTGATGCCTCAGACTACGAAGCAAGTAAAACGACAGAGAGCAGGATGAACAGGGAAAACCTGGCAGAGTCCACATCCTACCTGAAATGCTCCTTTGTTGCACCAAAAGTAGGTGCTGAGCCCCCGACATCTGCCGTCAGCACCGAGGAGCTGAAGGAAAGAATAATACTGAAGAAACCCATAGAAGAAACTGTTGTTAACCAAAGTAAAGTGTCTTCCAAGGACTCTGGCAAAAGAAGTCCCTTGGCTTCACCCCTACTGCCGTTTTTAAATAAGCAGAAAGGTAAATGCAGATGTCTATGTTGTTTTTTGCAGTGCTGCTGAGAGGGGGAGGAGGGAGAAGTGCCTGTTCCTTGCAGAGGAGATGTTAGTGGTGCCGAGCAGGGGGAGCTGCTGGCACTGGATAACATCAGCTTGAAGCTGGGCACGCCTGTGACAATGCACACATCATCTCTGACCTTCCGATCCTCTTCTTTTTTACCTTTTCCTTTCTCTTAGGAAAAAAAACCAACAACAAAAAAAAAACAGCAAAAAGAATTTTTAGGCCTAAGCATATAGATACTGGATCAAGCAGGAACCCCAGTAACATAAGGATAATTTGTACGTCAGGTATCTGGAGGACAAAGAGCAACAAATGATAATTTTTCCTTTGAAATACTACCTGCCTTGCCCTAGAGAAGGGGTGCAGTCAGGGAGGTGATCCTGTCCCTCTCAGAAATGTGAGGATCATGTTTTTGAGGATACATTTAGGAAAAAAGAAAGATTTAGAGGAGGAGAGGGGTTGAGTTTGGTGTTTCTGAAGCTGGTGCAGCTTAAATGAATTTCTCTCACAGTGGCTCACACCCTCCATCCTAAATAATGAGGGTTTTGTGTATGCTTCCAGGCTAGTGCAGGGTGGCAGGTGGCCTGGGGGTGCTCATCCCAGCTCTGCGTGCCTTGGTGGGCATCCTGTGTGCCCCTCTGAAAGCCCCTTCCCTAATCAAGCTCTGGGAGCAGGAAGGGCAGGACACTTCCCTGGTATTCAGATGCGCTCAAGGGCATTTTACTTCTCATAGTATCCTTTCAAAACCAGTGTAGAGCCAGCCAGGTCTGGGCTTGCTGTGCCAGGCACTGATGTCTGACTGGACCCACCAAACCTCTAGAACCACCACCAGCTTTCGGTCTAAGCTAAACCCTGAGGACCAAGGGGTAGCACAGGGTCACTGCACACTGACACTGCCAGGAGTCCCTGCAGCCTGTAACTGGCTTAGTTCACAAGGTGCACAAGAGAAAAACGCGTTTTATTCTTTGCAAGATGCCAGCTGTAAGTAGCCAGGACCTTTGTGTGCCTCTGGCTTTGTAGGCTGGCGTGGGAGGGATGGACACTGGGGCTGCCCCATGCCTGCCCTGCTCCCCCTCTGCCCTCTCCCCTGGCTGGGCTGGGGGGCAGCAGCACTCCACAGCTCTTCTGTCAGATGTTGTTTTGCAATTCAGAGAGCTACTGCTCCCTTGCAAGCAGCTGGATAGAGATGGAGGGGAGGTGAACCCCACCCCTGCTGCTTAGAGAGCATCTTTTTCCTCTGTCCATGTTTGTGCAGACGTTTGACCACATGATGGCCTGGAGATGTGGCAGACACATTTAAGTAGCACGCTTTTACAACTGATTTATCTAGCGCTGTGAACCCGAGCATGCAAGTCTAGTAAGGAAAGAGCCTGAACTTGCACGATGTGCTGAGGACTGCAAAATCTGCAGTGCAATAAAATATGTTAATACTGATATTCTTAGCAGTAATGAACTAATGACATTAATAGGCTGAATAAGAAACATGTGATTATTGCTTGTAAGTATGTTTTCCTGCCAGATTCTCAGAGATCACAACATCATGCTGTGCATCTCTTAGCTCCCTCATGAATAGGATGAGCTCCGACCATTTCTTTCCCCCTTCCCAAATTCCCCTTTTGTAGGACTGGCCCAGGCCCTGCCCAAACCCTGGAAGCTGTAGGGCTGATTGAATTTACCTTACACACCCTTCCTGCAGTCTCTAGCGTTGGGTCTCTGCAACCATGTTGTGTTCTGCTTGTTTTTTCTGGGCAGATGATAACAATTTGGTCTTGGATTTGGGGAAAGTAGTTGGGGAATGTCATGTGGGCAGCTATCACCTAGTCTCTCAATTTTGACATTTCAGGCCCTATTACAATTTTCAGTCCCCCTCGATTGTATTCAGATTTTTTTGGCCTAACTTTTGTGTCTCATTTAATTTCTGTCATTGCCTAAACTGGTGCTAACAGAGGCTTGTTCTCATATGGTGGTCAGAGGAAATCCCTGTGTGCGTGAGCAGACTTTCTCCCTACGTTGCAGTGTGTCGGTGTTTCCCACCTGTATTCCCATAGGACAGTAGTGGCAGGAACTTTTCCTCCAGGACAGACGCAAGACAGCTAATTACTATTTGGTGGTGTGTAGAGGACTATTTCAGTATGTGCTTTTCTCCCTGAAGACACCCTGGTGCCTAATGCAAGGAAGACAAAAATGTAAAGTGTCTCAAGAAGATTCTTGCTAAAACTTGTGTAACTTTTTAAAGATGATTTCAAGGTATGGGCAGGTGGGCTCAAGATAAGAAAATATGGATGATAGTGGGATCCAGTTTACGCTACCTTCCAGTCGTGTGTATTTGCTGTGTTGGTGGCTGTGTCTAGGTGTTAGTTAAATTTTTAGGTGGAAGGCAGAGTATGGGGCTCTCCTTCTACCTGGGAAAGGAGAACTTGTCCCTCACTCAGAGAATTCAAGTGAAACCCTTCATCAGCTTTTCAGTTATCAGAGGTGAACGGGGGGGGTGTTAACTGGCTTGGTGGAACCAGAGCATCCTCCATGGGTCCTTCCAGGCTCCATCAGCCTGGAGCCACATCAGCTAGCAGGGAAATGATGTGGCAGAGCACATCCAAGGGGACAGGGACTGCCTTCATAACATCAACTTGAGGTCTTGGCAGAGCTTTACATCACAGGATCATATATGTGTCATGCAACAACTCGGAATTACCTGGCAGGCATTTGGCACAGGCCATACTTGGCCAAAGTGATGAGAACAGAGAGAGATGTGGCACTGCCCGACAACAGAGGTGCAGCAGAATGATGCCACACAAAGCAAGAACAGTGTTGTCATTCATTAATTAAGAGAATTATCTTAATTATAGTTACTTATCATTCAAAGAATACTAACAAGATGTGACTATGTACTTGTTAAAAGATAGAAAACAGAAAAACCGTCATTGTTTCCTGTTACCTCCTTGTTACATGTCACTTTGGAAGTGTTATGCTACCACCACACAGCCTTATTAAGATGGAACGGTTTTAGTGATGTTCACAGAGTCCAGGTGGGGACTGGTCCCCCTGTGGCCATGGCAAGTCCCACCTGAGTTCAGATCAGTACTAGCCCAGCATTTCTGGAGATTCATAGGAAATTGATGGATCAAATGAAGCTGTTTGACACACCTGGCTGTGGTTTTGACACCCAACTGTAGATCTTACTGTGGCCCTTGGCCAGCTCATAGCCAGGTATATGAAATTTAAAAATAGTCGGCCATCAGTTTCACATGTAAGTGTTAACTGTTTCACAGCGTGATACTGTAATTCCACCAAGGAGTTTTTTACTCATATCCATGGCATTAAATATAGTTTGTGTGGCTCATTAGAAGAGTTTACTCTGGGCTGGCAAGACAAAAATTGATTTCGAGTGCATGCTCCAGGAAATTTGAGTGCACACTCCAGAAGCTGTGCAAAGTGAAAGCCCAGCTTTCAGCCTGCCCTCAGGAACAGTCTTGCTGACTGTGTTGCTGCCAGCCTGCAGCTTAAACCCTCAGAGACCTTTCTGGTGTGTCTGCTAGGCGTGATGAAATCATGGCCATTCTCCCAAATAACAAGGTGGAGCACAGCAAATGCATGTGTGGTTTGCGCAGCGATAACTCAATGTCTCTGCTTAACGTCTGTTGCCATCCAGTGGCAATAACAAAAATGGGCAGTGACTTCCTACCTCCATTTTACTGGTGCTGACTATCAGGATTTGAAAGAGTAGAGCTATTTCCGTACCATTAACCGCCAAACTGCCTCGCTTACTTTTCCGCACAGTCAGAAGGATGGCATTGCCTCTTGCAACACAGGCTTTGTTTTGGATGGAGTTGTGCAGTTGCTACCTATGTTAGTGTCACCAACTCCTTTGCCTCCTGCAGAACAAAGAGGGGAAGGCAGAGCTGTAGCAAGACATTTGCTGTTCTGCTGTCGCTGCCCCCGCGTCACTCCTGGCCTCTCCTCCCAGAGGTGGACGCAGCCCTTACACAAGAGGGCTTAAGGAACATCTGGCTGTGGCTCTGCAGGAAAGGAGGTTGCCAGCTCAGTTTCTTTTTTTTTCTTTTTTTTTTTTTTTAAAATATTCATCCACAGAGAAGGAAGAACAGATGCATTTGTATTTTCCAGTACCCAGAGCAAGGAATGCAGATTTTTACGCTTGTTCTAAGAAAACTCTGTCTTGCAACAGATTTTCACAAACTCTGGAAAATAATACAACTGATTGGTGTGGCCTGCATAGTCCGGGTGACATCCAGGCTGGGCTTGCATGTGGCTTGGGCATGCAGGGAAATTTCAGAAAAGACCTGCTGTTATGGAAACATGCACCCTTTGGCCTGGGGCAGTTTGCAAGAAGCCAAAATAAGCCTGGATCAAGGCAGGCTGGGAAGGACCATTTTGGCTGAGTCCTTTCCTATCTTCTCTTGCCCTGCCTGTTGGTTGCTCTCTGCCAGGGTGGCTTGGCTTACTGCATGCTGATGTCCCACAGCCTGGGGACCTGGTCTGGGGAGGAGTTTTCCCTTATGCTGAGGCACTGTGTCTCTCTCCAGCCTCTCCTTCAATGACAAAATTAGGAGATTCCTCCTGCTTGATCCATTTAATGAAACGTGGAGCAGCTTGTTACTTTCAGATAAGATGTCTGAGCTCAGGTTAAAAGAAAAAGATGTGAACATTCACAGTAATGTTTACTTTCATTTTCTTTTTATTTTGTGACAAAATTTAGCATAGGAAAAGGAAAATCCAGGCCCGGGGCTGTGGGGTTGTGCTGTCACTCACATGGTAGATGGCACAACTGGCAGGACCCAGGCTCCAGGCAGGGTCATGCTGGAAACACAGTCAAATCAATTCGTAATTTAAAGTGTTTTATTCTTCAGCACAGTCCTATGCCACCCTGCTATGAGGCATCTTGATTTTTATGCCTTACGAATGGCTTTTGTAGCATTAATCTTGATTAGTTCCCTACAAGAGCA